TCTGTTGCTTTTTGAAGAGCAGTGCATTTAAACTAAGTCCAATAAAAGGAAATATCGTTATAGCGGTAATATTGCCCAACCTATGGAATTCACTGCTGCTAAATGTCAGACTCAAATGATGTTTCTGGATATGAAGAGAAACCATCAGGTCATTTCAGCCCAGAATTGCAGGTTACAAAGCTTAGTATCATTCAAAACATTTCCATGATATTTAATTTTTTTCAGTTAAAAGTTTTTATTTAAATTTTCCTCTGCATTGTTTATAACCTAAAAAATACAGCATTGTACCAGTGCATGAGAAACAGAAAGTGAAGCTGTCTGGAAACTGCCAGCCTTGTTTCACTGTCCAAAGCCAAGTGAAATGAGAAAGTAAACAATACAATAGAGACAAATAAAGTAATTTAAAATAATTTTAATCTATGGATTTATTAGTAAGTAAACTAAACATAAGTAAAAAAAAAATTTCCTTAAAAAATAATCTGATAGTATTCTTTTAAAAGATCCAGACTTTGTTATGACCACTAATAACATTAATAGCTATTCAACCTAATATTGGTAATCAAATTTAATGTTTCAGGGCATAAATTCATTGCCTCTGAGGATCAGGAAGTAATTTTGTCCCCTTAAGTTCACTGTTTACTGAAGCATCAAGTGTTACAATGCTGTACTGGGAAAGTTCACTATTTACTGAAGCATCAAGTATTGGCTACTGCTGGAGGCAAAATGTAGGACCAATATTCTGATCCACAATAACAGTCCAGTATAATTTTTCTTACTAGAGTGGACAGTCTCTTCCCAGTTTTGTTGGGGGGAAATTCCTAGGCTGAGACTTTTCATACTATATTGTAGTCTGGAGCACATTTTACAGCAATTAAAAGACTTTTAACTATGCACTGCTTTTACAAGGTGCTCCTATAAAGTATTTCATGGAGAAAAAAGATGAGGGAAACTTGAAAACCTTGTTGTTGGAGTTTCTGCATATATACACATATTTAATCAGAAGACTGAAGCATGCTTTTTCATTTTTGCTCCTAACAGTGACACTCTGTGGATGAAACCAGGAGTACACATACAGGACAATATTAAGATTTTGTTGTTGTTGTTAAAATAGTAAGATCTGCCAGTTGTAACTAGTGCTGTATACTGAGATTGAACAAAAGGTAAAGAGACTGCCAATTATGTAGATGTTATATTATTGATGGCAAATTGTAATGTCTAAGCACCTGGTGCATTGCTGACACTATGTAAATAACTAATTCACATACGCAATTTTGCACAAAGAAAGTTCATTAAAATATACTTTACATTTTATTGGACAATCACATGCCTCCTAAATCTAGTAAATATTGTACAGGCCTCCAAAGCTATCATATGGAAGGAGGATGTACAATATTTTTGGCAACAAAACCACATAATTTATGAGTTGCCACATACACCTCTACCCCGATATAACGCGACCCGATATAACACGAATTCGGATATAATGTGTAAAGCAGTGCTCCGGAGCGAGGGGGGCTGCGCACTCCGGCGGATCAAAGCAAGTTCGATACAACGCGGTTTCACCTATAACACGGTAAGATTTTTTGGCTCCCGAGGACAGCGTTATATCGGCGTAGGGGTGTACTAAAATGGCCATGGTTATTAACAAAATATAAAAAAATATATATCAAAAGGCAACATGGCATAATAAATTTCCAGAGACTCCAAAACTGGTTGGCAACAAACCCTCAATAACCCACCCCCTACCATACAGTCCAGTCATACTCACAAAAAAAGTGACTTAGCTGAACGTAGCTATGCAGGAAAACAATAGGGGACATAGAGTTTATTAAAATGTCCTGTAAATAGCCAGTACTAAGAAAAGATGGAAGATTCAAACTTATAAATGTTTAGTTAACCTGTCTGAGAATAAATTGATAGAGTACAAAATGTGTGTGATGTGCTACCTGATAATGCAGAGAATCCATGGCAGCAACTTCTAGCTGACCACTGATTGATGGATGAAATGGTCATAATTTATTTTAACAGCTGTTGTTGAGGCCAGGAGCGATGTCCAGAGCCATTCCTCAGCCATCTTCTGCCGTGTTCTCTTTTGGTAGTAGGTGTGAGCCTTGTTCCCTCTGATAGCATTGCCATTCCTGTGATATTTAGGTCTTGCGCCTAAGGGCTTGATCCTGTATGGTTGAGGTTGCCCATGTACCCAAAAGTTAAAAATAAAAGGCAGCACAGAAAGTTCAGAACAACCCAATTACTCATAAGCAAGACCACTGCTTCATGACACCAAATCTCTCCTGCCTCATAGTAAGAATAAGGTCATAGTTGGGAGCAGCTATACTGCATCAGACTTGGTCATTCTACTCCCTTGACCGACTCTGCAAGGAAGTGGCAACACTCAGGATTTGAAGTTTCAGTTTAGTGTGGAGGATTATGCCTACTGTTTAGCCTTACTAACACTCACACATAGCCTCAGTCCACTTTGTGCTCACTGCTTTGTTCCTTGCAAAGACTTGCAGGATTGAGGCCTAAGTAAAACTTGACAATCTGTGTGATGCCTTAAGGAAGTTTATTTTGTGATTCAAAAGACTGGTTGTGTAATAGACAAAGGGCACCCCTTTTCAAACTTGTGTGCTTAGATATCAATTTAGGTGTCTTATATTAGCTACGCACATTTGAAAAACTTGTCCAATTGCTTTCTTTAGATGCTACACTCACAATTTATTAATTGGATATAGTGTTTCAGTTACACTGAGTAATTAGAACTGTACCTCATAGAGTCTAAAACGCCAGTATCAGTCTGGGCTGTGACTCCCTTGGGAGTGTTGCAAAAGTAAGGACTGGAGGATTGGACCTTCTAAGTCTTGTCAGCCTAAATTATGTACTAGTCCTAGTGTACAGCTATTCAGCACTGCTGTTTTCTTCCTCATACTGATGCTTTTTACAACTAAAGGGCCTGATGCTGCCATTCTTACTCTGGGAAATCTCCCATTAACATCTGGGGAGTCTTCCATAAGTAAGGATTGGCCCAAACTAGGAAAGTCTCAAAACACCCCCAATACTCTATTTTTATTCCTGTGGTAAACACTTAACATTAATTTTGAAGGAGTCAGGAAAGCAAACTGTAGGAGAAGTTCTGTCAGCACATAGCCCTGACCAGAAACAATAATTAGTTTCCTGTGTACCTGAGTTGCATGTGAAACCAGGCAGATGGCTAAAACTTTGTTCAGAGTTAGTTAGTTGGACCTTTGTGAGTTAAAGGGCAGAAATGTAATACTGTGCCTAGCTTAAGGAAAGTTGTTCTATTTGCAGTACTGCAGAAAGAAGAAAAAAATGATAATTGAAGAAAAATTTTGATGATGTGGTTCTCTTAGTAAATTGGGAACAATGACCCTTGAAGGACCATAAAGAAAGTGAATGTCAAGATAATTTATTATTGTTACATTATCTACCTCATTTTTCACTTTGTCTTACTAAGTTGTTATATCCTTACAAAGTACCAAATGCCCCAAACATTAATAAGCACCTTTTTATCCTTCAGTAGAGTTAAGAGCAACAAACAGCTTTTTGAAAAAAAAAAAAAAAAAAAAGGTATTCCTCACCAGATGTATGTGTGTTAATTGTTTTGACATGAAAAACAAGGTATTCATTTGATGCCGAGCACATATTTCATTAGCAAACCAGATCCAATCTTTAAATGGCCCTAAACCTTTGAAACCCACAGACACTCCTTTTTGAAGTAGAACTTGAAGTAGCAGCTAATTTAGTTCAAAGAGTAGAATGAAAGAATTGTCTTAGTAACTAATTGGATTATTTTTATTTATTTATTTACTCTAGGAGAGCCAGTTTCTATGCATGTCGGCTTGATAAGAACTTGTATGTGATTGGTGGAAGAAATGAAACTGGCTACTTGTCCAGCGTGGAATGCTATAATTTAGAGACAAATGAATGGCGTTATGTATCTTCTTTACCGCAACCTCTAGCAGCGCATGCAGGAGCAGTGCACAACGGCAAGATATATATTTCGGGCAAGTCTCTTTTCGTATTACTGCTACATACAAAACTTCACGGGCAAATTCCTGTTGCAAGGCGACATCTTCATTTACATTTAATTAATGAAGGTATATTTCCTTTGTAGGGGGCGTTCATAATGGAGAATATGTCCCCTGGCTGTACTGCTACGATCCTGTAATGGACGTCTGGGCCCGAAAACAGGACATGAACACAAAGCGAGCTATCCACACTTTGGCTGTAATGAATGATCGACTGTATGCAATTGGAGGAAACCATTTGAAAGGTCACCTTTTTATAGCAAAACAACATTTCAATGGCCTGTCTCTGGACAGAGGATATTTCTGTTAGCGAGTCATTGTTAAACTAAGTGTAAAACCCTCGAAACACAATTTAACAGGATGCTTGAGCCAGCAGTTTTAAAAACATCTTATGCAAATTATTTCAAAATTATAACAGTACATTAAATATATGAGTAATGAATGCTTTAGATAATAAAAAAATAGGAGCTTCCATTACTCTAAAGCATGGACAATTTGTCATTACCATGAATTCAGTGAAACAAACAGATTATTCTTTGACCCAAATGTAACAGCAATATTTTCCTCTAAATCATTTTCCAAGATGTGAAGTAAGAGTTTTATTCGGAGCCGCACAGAGAAACAACCCCCTGATTTAATGAAAAACCATCCATTAAATATTAGGACTAGAAACTCAAAATCCCTTTTTAATATTAAATGTAGCCTGTGACTTTAAATTCTTTATTAATTCTGTTTAAAGGTCTCTTGTTTTCATCTTTTAAAAGCTTTTCTTTAATGACTAATGTATAGGCATCCAGTGTTCTTTTTTGAATACGTACATGCCACTCCCATTAATGTTAAAAGGATGCTGTCTAATCTAGACAGTTTAAAAAATGAGTTTAAAGAAGTTTCATGCACCTCTCCTGCCCCTGTGTCTCCCTGACAATGTCTGTCATTTTATAATCAAATTTGTGTTTTGTCTCCCCCGTTGCAGCATGAAAGAGCCTCACAGACAAAAGGGGAAACTAACTGACAATGCAGGAGAAGCAGTGAAAATGACTATGGGTAAAATTTTCAAAAGTGCCTAATCAGACCCTAACTCACTTTGGGTATGTCTTCATTGCAAGTGAAGGTATGATTGTAGCCTGCGTAGCTTTAATCAAGCTAATATGGGAAAAATAGGGCTACGTATACACTATGAACAAGGGGTGGGATTGTCCTGCTTGTTTACACATACTCAAGCTACCTCTCATTGAAATAACGCGAGTATAAAATAGCAGTGTAGCCACAATAGCACAGGCTTCAGAAGCACAGCCGAGCCATGCCGAGTACATACCCACCAGTTTTAGTATGTGTATACGAGCAGGGGAATTGCACCCCTAGCTTGTAGTGTAAATGTAGCATAACAGTGTAGACATACAAAATTTCACAGGCAAATTGCTGTTGCAAGGCAACATCTTCATTTACATTTCATTAATGAAGGTATATTTCCTTTGTACGGGGTGTTCATGATTGAGAATATGTCCCCTGGCTGTACTGCTATGACCCTGTTATGGACGACCCTGTTATGAAGACGCAAGCTTCAGCATGTGCTAGCAACCAGAGTACAATCCCTGTAGGGAGCTTAAGTATGTACTCTGGTTGCTAGCCTGTGCTAAGGCCTGTGCCACTACATCTACACTGCTATTGTTACCTGTACTAGCTAGATTAACGTCAACAAGGTTATGACTACCTGTGATACAATCATACCTTTGTTTGTAAACATAGCCTCATGCACTTTGGAAAATTTTCCCCTATATGCATAGTTGGCTGAAGCACCTTAGCTGGTACATATGGGTACCATAGGGAAGCATAAAGTCCCCTCAGTAAATAGCACTGTGTCAGATAGTGCCTCTATGCCAAGTGCAGAACTGGGTTAGCCAGTTCTGTGCAGCCTACAGGAGCATTCTAAGGTGGGACAGGCCAAAAGAAAGAAGGAATAGCAGCTCTCTATGTACTGCACACCTGAAAATCAGGCCACTTTTAGGTGCCAAGTTTGAAAATATTGGTCTTTGAGTACTTTGAAATGTTGATCTTTGAAACAGTTCTATACTAAAAAGTGAGGTTGACCCATCTACGTTGCACAGGGATGTGGAAAATCCACACCCCTGAGCGACATAGTTAAGCCAATCTAACCCATAGTGTAGACAGTGCTAAATTGACGGAAGAAGTCGTCTGTCAATCTAGCTACTGCCTCTCAGGGAGGTGGATTAACTACAGTAATGGGAGTGATTAACTACCTGTGCTGTCACTGTCATGTCTACACAAGCGCTGAAGCTGCACAGCTGTAGCAGTTCAAATGTCAGTCTAGTCTTATTTCCACAGAGCTCCACCATTCTTTTTTCTATTGGAATAACAAAATTAAGAGGTATGTAAAAACTGGAAATGTTCCCTTCTTCTTTTAAGCTCTATTTTGTCCTTCCCTGCAACAGAGGAAAGCAATAAGTAAAGGGACACTATGCAACACTATGTACATTTAACTAAAGAGAGTGCATTTCCATAATTTTAATATTGCTCCCAGAAGTGTTTCAGCATTGGACTCTTAATGTTTTATAAATAGAGGGTCAGATCCTCAGTTTAATAAATAGAGAGCATCACTCCATTGGAATAGCACTGATATATACCAGCTGAGGATTCGGCCTTAAGATCTGGCCTATTCAATGTGGGGGTTGTAAACAAAGTGCTTTGTGTTCCTTGACTTATATGTTCCATAGAATAGCAAAATGTTGATTAAAGTATATTTGAACATGTGTTGATTAAAATTAAATGGAACTGTAATGCACACTTTAATAAGGTCTCTTTACTCAGGAAGTTGTGACAACAGTTCTGATCTCCCTGGTGGCATCTCCCAATTTTATCAGACAAATAAAATGGAACATGTTACAATCGTATTTTCTGCTGTACCATGTTGTTGCCTTGTATGCTTCAGCCATGGCTGAGTTGCTCTCTGTTGTGGGATATTTGCCATCTTTGCTCCCAAAATGCTGTTGTTTTGAGAAAGAGTTCTTTGGAAAACATTTCTTCTTATTTGCCCAGTGATGAGGGGCTCAAAGAAGAACTGTAAGCGAAGGAATGGGAGAGTGGATTGTAATGTGGATTCTGCAACAAATACTGCGTTGACTTGGGGTAAAGATGCTCTGATAGCTCAATGGCAAAGCACTCATTTGTGAAGCTGGATCTCTACTAGTGTCAGTGTCTTTACCTCATCATAACTAATTGTGGGTATACTACAAAGTTGGGGGGTGGCCTTTGACAGATTCCGGGCACACTGGGTTGACCTCATCATAGACCCTTGAAAATTCTGCTGTGATGCAAAATCATTCTGTCACACCTGTTCATTCCTGACATAAACTAATAATTTTGCAAGCGTCATTGTTATGGGCTACCTATATCACCAAATACCCTTTCACAGAAACTCTTATATTCTCCTCTTTTCTATTCCCTTTGATGAGAAAGAAGATAGAAATATAAAACAAATCATTTTGGCCTATGACTAAGACTGTAATTTTATTGCAGTGTTGCTAAAATTGTTTGGGCTCTCTTGAGATTTAAGGTATTTGATAAGAGGAAATGTTGTCTAAAAGATGTCTAAGAGCATGTAATGGGATCATGGACTCCTGTTTTCTATTTCTAGCTGATCAACTCAATCCCTGTGTAAACTTGGGCAAATCATTTAATGTCTCTGGGCCTCAATTTACCCATCTGTAAAGCGACAGTAATACAATTTACCTCAGAGGGGCATTATAAGAATTATAGAATCATAGTAGTTTCCACAGTCTAGACTGTAAGATGGTGCCAATTCTAAACCCCATTTTGACCCCTTCTAAAAGATTCACAGACTTGATCGCTGAAAGAAGAGAGGTTATCAAAAAAGAGTGGATTTACACTTTAAAACAATTATTCTAACTTCTTTTTTCCATTCTTAACTCAAAATGGCTTAATGTGAAAATCTCAGAATTGTGTGATGCATTGATCCCCAATGAAAGCTGGAGCACAGATCTAGTTTTGCCTTTTTTGAGTATCTAATTCTTTGTTTACATATATATTGTCTGTAGGCTTCCACATACAGATCTTAATTCTTCCATTTTGCTTGTATCTTGTGTAGCCATTTACATTTGTGCAAAGTGGGCATAAGTGCTACCATTCCAATTTTATAGAGTTTTAGAATATCTTTGCACCTACTTTGCACAATTGTAAATGATTCCACAAGGTACAAGGCAGTGGAGAATCAGTCTCAGAGATCTAGATGCCTCAGATCTCCTTGACAATCTGGATACAGACCTGCAAATTACACAAGTACAACAGTGGTGGTGGCATTGGTAGGTGCTCTTCTCCTGACAAGAGTGGTATCATAAGGCTTCTCTTATGTGGCTTCTTCATTCTTTCCTTGCTGAACATTCCCTGATGGTGGCTTCAAGCAATTACTCATCATCTCTAAGGGAGCTCATATGTGGTGTTCCATAGGGCTCCATCTTGTCTCCCTCCCTGTTTCCATCCTTGTGTACATGGGGCCAGTAGGAGCATTAGTGGGGAGGCATGGGCTGCAGTATGTTCATTTTGTTGATACCCATCTCTCCTTCGCTATCTTGTGTGATCCAGCCAGTGCTATTGAATGCTTTACTCAATGTCTGGGTGAGATTGGGGCACGGACGAGGTCTAGCTGACTGAGATCAATGCCAATAAGACTGGAGTGATACTGGTTTGGGTGCAGGAAGCAACCAGAGAAAGAGAGAGAGCGAGCGTTATATCTACCTCTTGCTTGGAGGACTTGTACCCACCTTTTCACAATCTGGGGCATCGTTGCACCCCAGCTGCTGTTTAATGACTACATAGCAGCAATGACCAGGAAGGCTTTTTTCCATCTCAGTCAGGAGAGGGTGACCACTCTTTTTGTGGATGTGGTCTTTGTCCCCTCATGACTACTGTAATGCACACTAATGAGGCTACACCTTAAATCAGCTGGAAACTGAAGCTTGTTCAGAATATGGCAGCCTGCTTATTAAGCAGAGTATCTTTCTGGAAGCATATGACACCAGTGCTTCAGCATTGTCTATCTGTGGTTTCTGGGTGAGGTTTAAGATATTGATTTTGAATGATAGGTTCCAAGCTATTTAGGATTCTGTCTACTTTAGGGACAGCTTCTCGCCATGCATTATTGCTGCAGAAGTCAGCATTGGTGCTCAAGCTGGAACCCCATCTGTATAAAATAGTAGCTACTAGCAAGACATTCTACTTGAGGTAACCTAAACTTTGAAACTTACTCCCCATCCCGTGTTTGTCCAGAATAGCTTGGATCTGTTGATCTTCAGGGAACACTGCCCCCACTTTTGGGGTGGGATAATTGGTTGGTGAGAAGGAATATTGTTTGGGGTCTGCTTTCATCATTTCTTAGTTATTTTCTAGTTTGGGATGAAGAGAGGTCTCTGGTTTGGTTAGGTTTGTTATGCAGTTGTATTTTTGATTCATGACAGAGACCTGGAGTCTTTGGGTTAAGTGCTTTTTAAAGAGTTAGTATAAATTGAAATAGTTAAAGAAATAAACATTAGAGGAGTTGGCTTACATATCTGTATATTGGGTAAGATTTTTCATCATTCTTTTCTAAAATGACCTTTTCTAAACTTACTAGTGTTACGAAGAAATAGAATAATTTTATTTTTATTTTTTTGAATAATAGAGAAATTTCCTTATAAAAAAGATTCATTGAGAAAGTGCTAAGGTTCTGTCTAAATATTTATTAATTTAAAACAACATTGTTGTAAATAAAATATTTGTAAAAAGAAAAAACCCCAAACATTTGAAGTCAGAAAGTTCTAAGTTAAAGTTAAAAAACAAACAATTGAAAATTAAGAAATTTTAGTTTTTCAAAACCCTGAACACTGGAAAGTCTCAAAATACTCAGAACATTTTCCATCACTAGCTTTATCTTTCTGTCCCTTTACCCTCACTTCTCCTCCAGTTACAGGTGGAAGACCCTCACTAGTGGCCATATGGAATAAATGCCAGTTTTCCCTGAATAACTTAGATTTTTGCATTATGATAACATCTGCAGCTATCCTGCTGGCCTGTATCAAGTACAGGGATATTTTAGGCCTTTATTGTAAGGGTAGGCTATTTGGGAGTTTTTCATCATATGATCAGGGTGAATGTGGAAAAAGCTGATCTCTGGTTTTGGTGGCATGGGACTTCTGACTATATAAGTAAGGTTAATAGCGTAAAATTGGGCTCCATCTATAGTTGTTGTGTGTGGCCCATTTGTGGAGGGTAATATAAGACAATATGGTTGCTGGCCTGTGGGAGATCTCTGTGATGAGGAGTGGATAGTTTTGCAGCTCATAGGCCAGTATGGTATCTTTATTCCTGGATAGTAGGTGATTGTGGAAGTTAAATGCAGGATAGTGGTGGGGGAGTTGAGGTTGGTATTGGAACTGTTACTGTGTATTTTCACACTTTTTTTAAATAGGTATGGGCCCAAACCAAAACACTGCATACAAATTCACCACAGAATTTCAGATCCAGACTTTGCAGCTCCTGACTTCCATATTTTTTTAGAAAATTCCTATTACTATTACCATTCATCAGGAACTATTAGAGGTGGCCGCAGTTGTACTTTTGAAATAAATATGGCTTTTTAAAAGGATATAGAAACTTAAAGATGCCTGCTTTAAGTTATTTTCTAAATATTTTATTCAGGTTTCTCCCATCTTGATGTCATGCTTGTGGAATGCTATGATCCAAAAGGTGACCAGTGGAATATTCTTCAGACTCCTATTTTGGAAGGTCGCAGTGGCCCTGGATGCGCAGTTCTTGATGACAGTATTTACCTTGTCGGAGGCTACAGTTGGAGTATGGTGTGTACCTGTTTTCTGAAAATGTCTCCTCGTGCAGTTTTTAGTTACTGTCTGAAAAAAGTTGTGCCTGTTCTTTTTTTCCTTCTAAGAAATGCTGAAAATATAAATCAAGGGCTGTCAAAATCTTGGATGCATTGAAAATGTTCTTGAGGCTGATTTACAGCTTGGTTTGTAAAGCTGACATTACTTATTGATTTTCTGATGGAAATAATCTTATTTCATTTCCAATTTTATTTTATTATGAAAATATAGATTAAGGGCTAAGTCCCATATTTTTAAAGCTATATAGGCATTGCTCCACTTAGCGTTGCACTGCCAAAGTTATTTAGGAGCCTAAATCTTATTTACAGAAGTAATTTAGGGAATTAGGACATTAACTGACAGTAGGATTTTAATGACTAGGTGCCTAACTCACTTTTGAAAATGGGACTTAAGCTCCTAAATCAATTAGGCTTTGCAATGCTGAGAGCAGCAATGCTTAAATAGCTTTAAAACTCTGGGCCTTAGCCTGCAAACACTGTTGCTTAAGTTACATCCATAAAATACACACATACATGTAAAATAAGAAGCTCCACTGAACCCTGGGGATTGGGTATGCAAAACAGGTGCTGTGAAATGTTGTAGTCTAAAGGATTTAGCACATAGTTGGGTATCAAAAGGTCTGGGGTTATAATCCCAGCTCTTCCGCTGGCTCCCTGCATGACCTGGCGCAAGTCACTTCACAATCTAAGTTCCCCAAAGGGGACTATTAGTACTTACTTACCTGTTTTATTCTGTTATTGTGAGGTTTAGTTGATGTCATACAGTGCTTTGAAGTCAGGATTGACGTCAGTGGTACAGGATTCGACCCATAACGTACTACATAAAATTAATTGTTATTGATTGAACTCTCTGTGTAAAGTGCCTATTTGTAAGTGTGTATCTGCCTGCACAATTGCCTTTTGGCACCCATGTACATTTTTATAGGTTAAAATATGTGAAATTTTTTTGAAAATGTAGCCCTACATGTACATTTTGATGTTATTAAACAAGTGTAATTTTAATGTATGTTTGAGATCTTGCTTCCCTCACTTACATGAATAGTCCCATTGACTTGGACTGAAGTATTTTTACCAACACATTGAGCCTGGTTCTCCTCAAACTTACACTACTTGTACAGCACGGTAGCTCTATTGACTTCTGATTTACTGCCGGGTAAAAGAAAGATCAGCCCCTTTATAGTTGACTTTAGAAAAAATGAAGCAAAGCTTTGGTAATGTTATTTGCATGATGTACATGAGTATATGCACTAATGAAGCTGGGGAAGAGGACATGGATTGATTTAAGACAGCTTCAGGGTTTTTTTTAATCTGAGCATCAGTCACTTATAGAGAACTTTTAGCATTTTTTCATTATTTCAATTTCCTTTTAAGAGAAGATATTTTAGAATAAATTATTTTAATTTGTACGAGGTGCAGTGATACAAACGAGGGGTATAATTTGGCAAAATTGAGTAGTGATTTTGGGTCACTCAATACTTGTATACTTCACTAAAGACACTTTTAGAGGAACAACGAGGCGTTCGGTGGCACCTTGAAGACTAACAGATTTATTTGGGCATAAGCGGAAAGCCCAAATAAATCTGTTCGTCTTTAAGGTGCCACCAGACTCCTCGTTGTTTTTGTGAATACAGACTAACTTCTGATACTTTAGAGGAACTTGGTTTTGAGAGGGTGAATGTTCAGCACTTTATGACAATTGAGCCTGTTTAATCTGTCTCAAGTTTTGCTCTCACAATGTTTCAATAAGATTTTGTTCTATCATAGGGAGCCTACAAATCTTCTACTATTTGCTACAGTCCTGAGAAAGGAACCTGGACAGAACTAGAAGGAGATGTAGCTGAGCCACTTGCAGGTCCTGCATGTTCGACTGTCATACTGCCAGCCTGTGTACCGTACAACAAATAATATTCGAGAAGCACTGAAATGAACAATATTACATTCTGGAAAGTAATAACGGGTGACGTAAATATTTTAATAGAACAGAATTCCTGGCAAAACAAAACTACCATAATTGACCCCTTATCTCAGATTTATGCTTTAAAAGCAAACTGGGAACAAAAAGTCTCATCTCAGATAGATGCCGGTGTCTTGTGAAGCAAGTAGCCAGAACACACCGAACATTACATGCTGACAGACTGCCATTTCAGACTGATTTTAACTTTTTTCCCCGCTACAGAAATATTCTTCACATGGGTTTTAACTTTTAAAAATGAAGGCTAAATGTCCAAATACAGCCTGAAAAGACAAGATCAGTTTTGTGCATTATATTCTACCTGCATGTGATCTATGTGAAGTCATGAGGGTGTTGTGTTCATGAATGCTTCAAAACTCAGATACTGAAAAGCTCACTCTGCATTGCAGAACTGTCTCCCCCTCTGTAATCCTAACCTACAGCTACTTCATATGCTCTGCAAGCAACACAGCATCAAAATATCACAAAGGTAAAGAAATGTCATTCCATTTTTGCACAACTTGGCTTCTCATACACTCTGCCTTCAAAGTCCCCATATGTAAGTGTAGTGAAGAGCAGACTACGATGAAAGTGATGCTTTACAGAGCACTTCTTGCAATAGTGATTTTAAGGATTAGGAACAAATTCTGCTCTTAGTTACACTGGTATAAATGCAGAGCCACTCCACTAAAATCAATGGAATGAATGTTTTTATAGCTGGTGTGACTGAAATCTTGGCCTAAACCTCAAATTCTGGGTTTACAAAGTAAGTTTTTCTCATAAGCAGTTAAAAGACAACACAGTCCATTAATACAGTAAACATACAAGAATTCTTCTTCATTTTCACTAACATTAGAAGTGAACACCCTTGCTATTTGCTTTCAAAGACAAGACCACTGAATTTATGCATAATGGTACCTCTTTGGACTTTTAAATTAGTATGCATACAATTGAAGGGACTCTGGTAACTGGCTAAAATCCTCGTCTCTGATTTCACAATTTGAAAGGTTTTCTCTGTTGATCCAGAAAAATACAGGGCTGGATTCTCCACTGCCTTATACCTTGTTTAGTTATTTACATCTGGTAAAGTGAGTGCAAAATGCTATCAGATCAGAACAGTAGCATATGACACCCACTTTACACAGTTGTACTTGATTACATAGGGTGCAAGGCAGTGGCAAATCAGGCCCAATGTGTTTTTATGCTTATGTCTTCCTTTTGCAGCAGTAACTGACTTACAAACACTGTGCCTGCTTCTCCACGTCCTCTTGGCTTACATAAGGATTTCGACCTGTACACAATGCATATAAAATACTTCTTCTTTGAGTGCTTGCTAATGTCCATTCCATGTTAGGTGTGTGTGCTCACCACATGCACCAGTGCCGGAAGTTTTTCCTTCAGTGGTATCTGTAGGGACCAGCTCTGGCACCCTCAGGAGTGGCATGCATATGCACCAGTCGAAGGGGCACCACCAGCCCCCTCAGTTCCTTCTTACCACCAGTGACGGTACTGGAACATCTCCTTGCTTTGGCAAATACTCTTACCTATGTTCTTCCTATTATTTATTCTGTTAATAGTTCTTAGATAAGTAGTTCTTTTGTTCTCTTAATAGTTAGTTAATAGTACAGTAGTTAAATTAGATAGTCCCTTAAGGGACTTAGCCCAGGGATGGGGCATGCCTCAGTCCCCGGGCTTCAAGCCTTGTGATCGCTGCAAAAAGCCTATGCCGATCAGCGACCCTCATCAAAGCTGCTTGAAATGTCTGGGGGAAACCCATGTTAGTAATAAGTGTCACATCTGCAAGAGCTTCAAGCCAAGAACTAAAAAGGAGCAGGACATAAGACTGAGAGCGCTCCTCATGGAGCATGTCTCCAAACCACCGAAATCAGACTCCACTCCGAGCACAGTGGCATCAGCACAAAGTGTGCCACCGGCACCGGCCTCCCAATGCTGGTCCCAGTCCCCAGTACCCGCTAAAATGCAAAGGAAGCACACCAGGAGAGGGCGTTCTGCAACATCCCGTACTGAAAAGGAAAAGTCCAAAGAGGAGCATAGGCCCGTGTGGGACAGCATGTCTCTGGAGCCCAGCCAGGCACCTGCATCGCCGGCTAGGCAACCCAGCCCTCCTAGGAACCCACCAGCCACCCCGGGTAGTGGCAGAGGTTCCCAGCACCTGGAGGTCCCATCCATGCTGGAGGCCTTCCAGGCTGCAAAAGACATCATGTCTTTGCTGGTGCTACCGACACCCCGTCAAGATGTAGTTGTCTCTAGAGTGAAGCCGGCACTGGGGTCCGTGCAACGGTCTCCGTCTGTGCGTCATCGCTCCCTGGCACTGCGGCGGTCGATGTCAAAGCGGGATCCCCCGGGAGGCGGTTCTGACCTGCCCATACTGACTGGCCCTGTTCACTGGACTCTCGGCACCGGTCCCTGAGGTGTGGCATCACTTACCCTATGGTCAATGCAGATCCGTAGCATGCCACTAGTATCTGGAATCATGGCACCGGTCGCTGGAGAGGAGGCATCTCTCCTTGGGGCAACAAAGTCCACCAGGATCATGATGCCAATTGCCGGGACCACAAGACCAGTCCCTGGCACTGAGACACAGCTCTACGGACTCACAGCACCAGTCTCTGGGGTCCCAGAACACTAGACGTCGATTGCTGGTATACCGTCGCCAATCTGCCAAACTCCGCCGTCAGTCCCTGGACAGATGGCACCAGGACCTGGAACCCCGGTACCTGTCCCCCAGCCGCAGTCGCTGGGATAGCAGGCATGGAGGGACCAGGGATGCAGCATCAGCACTGCATTGTTCCCCCGGCAGAAACTTTCCTCCTCGGGCTTAGAGGCTGAGGAGATAGTGGGTCCCTCTGTACAGCCACACACAACCAGATCTGGGGGGGCTCCTCCAGGGCCACCAGCCAGTGCATGGCCCCAGGGCCAGTGGCCAGCCCAGTGGTACTTTTGGAACCCATAGGAGTTCCCCCAGGTATCGGAGACTCAAATGCAGCACTCAGTGTCAGGGGCGTCAGAGAGGAGGTTGGCAACAGACTCCCGCCCTCCCCTGGAATCAGAAGAGGGATCTGATCAAGAGGCCCAGAAGCACCCTCCGGCCTCGACGGAGACCACCCATGCAAGGGATGCTGAGCTAGCCCCTCCCCCACCTTCGCCTCCTCGTCATCCTCACCCGACAAGGCAGTGGCAGGACTGTCCAAGACAGTGCCACAGGATGATCCCAAGGCACACCAGGAGCTGCTGAAGAGAGTGGTTGCAAACTTGGGATTGGAAGTAGAGGAGTTGGCGGAATCCTGTGACACTTTATTCGACATTCTGGCCGCGGTAGCCACATTTAGGGTGGTGCTCCCAGTACATGAAGGGGTAGTAAAGCTGGTAAAAGCCTTATGGCAGACCCCATTTCTCTCCTGCCCATTTCCAAGCAGGCAGAGAGGAAGTATTACGTCCCTGCAAAAGGGTTTGAATACCTGTATTCCCATCCAGCCCCAAACTCTTTAGTAGTCTCTGCGGCCAACGAAAGGGACAGGCAGGGGCAATCCAGCCCAATTCCCAAAAACAAGGATGGAAAGAGGCTGGACTTATTTGGCAGAAAAAATTGTTCATCTGCCAACCTCCAATTATGAATGGCAAACCATCAGACCTTACTCGGGAGGTATGATTTCAAGTGTGGCAGTCTGTGCCCAAGTTTGCAGACTCGCTGCCGGAAGACACCAGTCAAGAGTTCCTGGCGATTTTGGATGAAGGGAGAAATGTGGCAAGGGCCTGCCTGCAGGCTGCCTCCAACATGGTGGACTCAGCTGCCAGGTCCATCACAACAGCCATGTTGATGACATGAGCATCGTGGCTGATGTCTTCCGGGCTATCAACGGAGGCTCAGCAAACAATCCAGGACCTCCCCTTCGATGGCCTAGCCATTTTTTCAGAACAAAGAGACACGAGATTACATGGCTCAAGGTCTCTAGGGCTACTCTACATTTCCTGGGTCTCTATACACCGACCCCTGCTAGAAAGAGATTCAGACCACAGCAACCTCAAAGACCAACCTGTCAGGCCCGACCGGAGCCCTACCACAGGAAGGGGAAGGGCTATAAGTGCAGACAAGGCCAACAACCAGCCCTTCTTCCCACTTGGGCTCCTCCCGCTACCCGCCTGATAACAAGCAGGCGTTTTGAGGGTATGCCCAAGGGAGACCTCCCAGTCTGCAGCCGGGATCCTGCACCCTTCTTGTTTTCAAACCACCTTTTTCCTTTCCTCCCCACTTGGGCCGCTATAACATTGGACTGGTGGGTCCTCAGCACTGTGGCAATGGGGTATACCTTACAATTTATTTCTACCCCCCACTACCACCACCCTTCCCTGTCCCTCTTCAGGGACACTTCTCACGAGCAACTTCTCGCCCAAAAGGTGCAAGCCCTCCTGTGAGTTGGGGCTATAGAAGAAGTCCCCTTACACCTAAGAGGGAAAGGGTTTTACTCTTGGAATTTTCTCATTCCGAAGGTCAATGGGGGTCTGTGCCCCATATTGGACCTGCGAGGCCTCAACAAGTATCTCAAGAAGTTGAAGTTCCGCATGGTCTTCCTGGCCTCCATTATCCCCTCCCTGGATCCTGGAGACTGGTATGCCGCCCTCGATTTGAAGGACGCGTATTGCCATTTTCCAAGGGCACAGAAGATTCCTGCAGTTTGTGTGGGGCAATCCCACTACCAGTTCATGGTGCTTCCATTCGACCTGGCTATAGCACCATGAGTGTTCACGAAATGCATGTTGGTGGTCGCAGCCTACCTCAGGCGCCACGGCATTCAAATCTGCCCGTACCTCGATGATTGGCTCATCAAGGGTCGTTTGCCAGTACAAGTCCATCGCAGCGTTCAGTTGGTGCAAGCCATGTGCCAAAACTGTGTCTCTTGATAAATTAACAAAAATCCACATTGGTCCCAATGCAAAGAATAGAGTTCATGGGGGCAGTTCCGGACTCTACCTGAGTCAGGGCCTTTCTCGTGGAACCCAGATTCAAGACAATGTCTGGTCTCATTGCCCAACTGACGAGCCACCCTATCACCACAGCCAGGGTATGCCTCAGACTGCTAGGGCACATGGCAGTGTGCACTTATGTAGTCTGACACGCGCAACTGAGGCTCAGACCCCACCAGATGTAGCTGGCGTCAGTCTACACCCCAGCCAGGCACCACCTGGACAAAGTCCTTACGATTCTGCATCAAGTACTTACTGCTCTGGAATGGTGGTCCAACCCAGTAAACATGTCTGAAGGAATACCTTTTGCAGTCCCAAAAACCACACTGGTGTTAGTGTCGGACGTTGGCTGGGAGCCCATCTCAGATTGCTAAGGACCCAGAAGTTGTCCCGGGAAGAGTTGGCACTGTACATCAACGTCAGGGAGCTTGGGACCATCTGTTTGGCTTGCGAAGTGTTCCTCCTGCAACTATCCCATCAAGCAGTTCAGGTGTTGATGGACAATATGGCCTCCATGTTCTATGTCAGCAGGAAAGGAGGAGCACGGTCCTCAGTCCTCTGTCGGGAAGTCCTCCAACTGTGGGAATTCTGTGACCAGCATGTCATACACATCGCGGCTCTACATTTTCCCGGCATCCGAAACACACTGGCAGATCGCCTCAGCAGGTCGTTCTGTTCTCACCATGAGTGGTCCCTCCACTTGGAGATTGCCAGAATGATCTTTCAGAGGCGGTGAACTCCCCAAGTGGACCTGTTTGCCACCAGATGGAACAGGAGTGCCACCGATTCTGCTCCCTCCAAGGGCTCGACAGCAGATCGCTCTCTGACACTTTTCTCCTGTCTTGGGCAAGTGACCTGATGTACACCTTCCCACCGATCCCACTTATAAGCAGGACCCTCCTAAAAAATCAAAAGGGACAAAGCCAAGGTCATCATGATCACCCCAGCATGGTCGCACCAGCATTGGTTTGGCATGCTCATGGACTTGGCAACAGCGTCCCCATGGATGTTTCCCAACCACCCAGATCTACTCTCTCAGGATCACTGGAGGTTGCTGCACCTGAACCTCACCTCTCTCCACCACACAGCATGGATGATGTGTGTCTGAACCCAGAGGAGCAGGCCTGCTTCAGTCAAGTCCAGCACATTCTGTTGGAGAGTAGAAAACCCTCCACTAGAGCGACTTACATGGCAAAGTGGAAAGACTTCTCCTGCTGGGCGTCGGAGTGGGGGATCTCCCCTACTCAGTCTTCTCTGCAGTCCATTATGGACTACCTGCTAGCCTTCTCCTCGATCAAGGTGCACCTGGCGGCCATCTCAACCTTCCATCCCCACGTCCAGGACAGATCAGTATTCGCGCATTAAATGACTATGCCCTGGTCTACACTGGGGGCGGGGGTGTCGACCTAAAATACGGAACTTCAGCTATGCGAATAGCGTTGCTGAAGTCAGCGTATCTTAGGTCGACTTACCTGGCTGTGAGGATGGCGGCGAGTCGACCGCTGCCGCTCCCCCATCGACTCCGCTTCTGCCTCTTGCGAGCTGGAGTTCTGGAGTCAATGGGGAGCGTGTTTTTGGATTGATTTATCCGCGTCTACACGAGACGCGATAAATCGATCCCCGATAGGGTAGTGAAGACCTGCCCTATCAGGTTTCTTAAGGGCCTTGAAAGGCTTTTTCTGCCTGTCTGGGGCCTGGTGCCCCTATGGGTCCTTAACCTAGTCCTCTCTAGGCTCACTGGCCCTCCCTTTGAGCCTCTGGCCTCCTATTCTCTTTTGCGTCTGTCATGGAAGGTTGTGTTCCTTGTGGATATTATTTCAGCGAGGCAAGTCGCCGAGATTAAAGCCCTTACGTCGGAGCTCCTGTATACAGTGTTCTACAAAGACAAGGTTCAGTTGTGTCCCCACCCTGCCTTCCTGCCAAAGGTGGTATCGCCTTTCCATGTTAACCAGGACATTTTCCTCTCGGTGTTCTGCCTGAAGCCTCATGCCTCCAATGAGGAGAAGCGTTTGCAAACCCTGGATGTCAGACGGGCTCTGGCGTTCTACTTAGAGCATACCAAGCCCTTTCGCAGATTGACTCAACTCTTCGTCACAGTAGCTGACAGGATGAAAGGCCTCCCAGTGTCTTCTCAGAGGCTTTCATCTTGGATTACTACCTGCATCCATACTTGCTATGAGTTGGCACAGATTGTACCTCCACCAATAGTGACGGTCCATTCAACTAGAGCTCAGGCATCGTCAGCAGCCTTCCTGGCACAAGTCCCTATCCAGGATATCTGCTGGGCCACAACGTGGTCATCGATGCACACCTTCACAACCCACTATGCCATCACCCAGCAGGCCAGAGATAATGCTGGCTTTGGCAGAACTGTGTGGCAATCAACACATCCATGAACTCCTACCCACCTTCGGAAATACTGCTTGGGAGTCAGCTGACATGGAATGGACACGAGCAAGCACTCGAAGAAGAAAAAATGGTTACTAGCCTTCTGTAACTGTTGTTCTTCAAGATGTGTTGCTCATGTCCATTCCATGGCCTGCCCTCCTTCCCCTCTTTTGGAGTTCTGGCAAGAAGGAACTGAAGTGGGGGAACCAGCGGCGCCCCTTATAGTGGTGCATATTCACACCACTCCAGAAGGCACCAGAGCCAGTCCCCTACGGATACCACTGAGGGGAAAAACTTCTGGCACCAGTGCACATGGCGAGCACACACACCTACAATGGAATGGACATGAGCAATGCATCTCAAAGAACAACAGTTATGGAAGGTTAGTAACCGCTTTTTCCATTCTGGATCACTGGTGTTTTACATCCACTTTGCTCTCAGGCCAGCTCCTCAGCCGATGTAAATTGGCATAGCTCCATGAAAATCAGTAAAGGCACTCCAGTTTACACCAGCTGATGATCTGGCCCTTCATTTGTAAAGTTGTAAATGCTTACACTGTGAAAAGCAGTAGGGATCAGGCTGAGTATTTCCAAAGCTGTGCAAATTTCTGTTGATATAAATTGATGATGATGGTACATAAACAAGAAGCAAACAGCTACTGTACATTAGCTTCTGCTGCAGTAGGAATAGACAGGGGGGAAATCATTGTGTTTTTTACATACCGGTATATAGAAATAGAAAAAGGACAAATTTGGTTGGAAATTAAACTATACATTCAGGCTTCCAAGAGAGTGATATAAACAATGGAGAATAAATACTGTGGGACTGTTTCTCCATGGCATCACTCCATTTTTATGGCAGTGTAACTCTCTTGCATGCAGCAGAATTACACTGAAGTAAAACTGGAGTAATTCAGTAGAGACTGAGGCTGTACAAATGCAATAAAGCAATTGGTGAGGTAGCTGCCCATGCAGAAAAAGTTGTTTAAACAAATTATTTTCCAAAGCCACAGATAGCATCACTAAGGAACTCATAAAGGTGGAGTGTATATCCTGAAATCTCAATCCATTTCTACTGTAGAGTGCAATTTTAGTTGGTTTTGTATTTATTTGTATTGTTCATATCCAAGGGATCCCTTGTAAAATATATTTGGTGCAATCATGACTTTTTTCTTTTTTGTTTAAAGTGTATAAATATATATGAAAAGGAAACATGTTACAATATTAAACGAGGAAACCTAGAATGACATTTAAGATCAGGATAAGGTCTGCCATAAACCACTGACTGTTACCTGTCTCTACTAAAATGTACCATTTTAAATGGGTATTTGTTGTTCTTTTGAATGGTTCTTTTTTTACCAAGATAATTTAAAGATTTATGAGGCTTGTATGTAAATCTTTATGTTTCAGAAAGGCATGACCAAGGAAATTGCTAACTGAATAAGTCACAAAGAATGTAAATTTTGTACAGTATTAGAATGTGTAAATGAAGCTTGCTTGTAGGGCGAAAACTTTAAATAAAACTTTATGTACTAATTCAACTGTCTGCCATATTCCTACTTATAAAGTGTATGTATAAATAATATCTACATTAAATTCTTTGGAAGTTTTTTATCACGTAGATGCGTAAACATTTTTATTTTGCAGACATGCAAAACCATTTCACTGTTCTCCGAGAGTGATATACTCTATGCTCTAAATGTAATTAATCAAATTCTTCCCTTCAGTGCACATGCTTGGCCTATGTTTAAATCAGTAAAAGCCCCACATTCATGTCCGAGGGCAGAATTCGACCCCAGGAAAATACAAATTTCACTGCACACTTCTGAAATACACTTCTTCAGGTCTTTGAGTGTCATTTACTCTGCCCATTGGGAAAGGAAAAATTAATTCTCATCCATTTCATAATCAATTAAATGAAAAGGATCCTCATTAAATTAAATCCAAACTCTCGTTTGTATTCATGGGGATTTTTTTTGTCCCTCTTCACAATTTCCCTAAAACTGTGATTAACACTTCTGATTATGTGTATTTCATTCATTAGCCTAGAAGCACTAATGCAGGTGAGAGGTTAAGGAGCTGGGACAAGTGGTAGCCTTGGGCTGGTAGGAGGAGGAAAAGGATGGATCTTGCCGGGTGTGGTGCTGTCGAATCAGCAGCAATGGTGGTATTGTTAGAGGGCTGAGGGGCACAGTGAGGTTTTAAAATCCCTGTTCTAAAGAGGACAGGGGAGCCTGTAAAATTCTTCAGCACAGAAGGGAAGAGTGGTGGCAGATAAGAAAATGGACTGAGAGACACAATGGGGAGGATTTTTTTAAGTGTATATGTTGAGTACAGAATGTGACAGGAGAAGGGAAGAAAAAGAGTGAGGAGAGGATTTTATTCTTATATTTTATGTGGGAGAAAAAGCAAAACATAAGAGAAATTGGAAACAAAGAAGAGAGATGGGACAGACAGAAAAAAAGGAACAGGGGCTAGGAGGAGCACATAGGAATGAAAGGAAGAAATAGGAGCAAGGCCTGAGAGAGGAGAAAAACACAAGTCAGAGGAAAAGTAAGAAGGAAGGTTTAGAAGAGGTCAGGGGACAGGGTCTGCTGGATCAGGGTCAAAGGAGAAACTGATAAGACAGGATGACAAGAAAAGAAGGGGAGGTGGTTCCAAGATACAAACTGGAGGACAGGAGGAATGAAGAGCATAGTGGAGGAGAAGCAAAGGGAAATACCAGAAAAGGAGAGAAATGAAGTAATGTGAGCAGATTTGTGACAGCTGCCGTTCTGCTTTCCAAAGCCAATTCATTTAAAGTGCTATAGCTATGAGTCACAGAAAGGACAAAATCATGTCTGCTGGTGTCATAGTGGGCGAGGGGAGGGGAGAAGGGAAGATGAGGCATTTTCCCCTCTATATTTTCCCCTCTATAAGCAGGGTAGTATCCCTCCATATTGCTCAGGAAGCACAAGAGGAGAGAGAGGCTTGCTAACCTGTCAACCCACACACATGCCCTGACAGGGGACATGGTCTGCTTTTTCAGGGACATGTCTTCCACCAGCTAATTGCCATCCTGAAAGGTGCTAAGCACCCACAATTTCCATTGAAAAATGAAGCCTTAAAGTTTTGTATAGGAAGCCAAATGTAAGGCTATTATTAGCATTTATTTATTTTGTATTTTCCTGCTATTAAAATGCAGGCCTGAATAGTCTATCTGCCTCTCAGGGCCAACCTATGAGGAAAAATCATGCAATACCTCACAAAGGATTGAATCTGACTGACTCACCAATGTAGTGCTGTAGTTCTCTTTGGGTACGTCCAGACTACCCGCCAATTCGGCGGGTAGTAATCAATCTATCGGGGATCGATATATCACGTCTCAGCTAGACCCGATATATCAATCCCCAAATGCGCTCCCGTCGACTCCGGAACTCCACCAGGGCGAGCGGCAGTAACGGAGTCGACGGGGGAGCTGCAGCCGTCGATCCCGTGCCATGAGGACCCAAGGTAAGTCGAAATAAGATACGTCGACTTCAGCTACGCTATTCCCGTAGCTGAAGTTGCGTATCTTACATCGACATCCCCCTTCCCCCCCCAGTGTAGACCAGCCCGTTGTTGAAAGGGTCATCTCATTTTACAGATCCTCCTTAAACTGAGCATGCTGGGTGTATGTGAGCGGAGACAGAAACTGCAGACAAGTGGCAATACATGAGCACTAGCCTTAAGTTATCAAAATATATTCTGCTGTACAATTGAAGATACAGATCCTGTTTTTTATTATATACCAGCAATAGAAGAGGAGATGTTTTGCCCTCTGGTTTGTTTAGGCCTTTAACAGTCAGACCAAAGAAGTAGCAATGGTAGTGCTGGAGGTCAGAGTGGTTAGTGGTAAGGGAAACTACACTAATGAATTCTAGAGGGCTTGTAATGCCATAAAAGATTCAGTTAATCTGCAGCATAGATGTTGATCAGTGGAACTGAACCTAACTCCCTGGACCTTGTCAGATGTATTCTGTGCATGTCGGCGTTCCACACCAATTACAGATTTTAGAAGATGCTCTCATGCAAAACTATGTGCCCTAATATATAAGCCAGCTCAGATGTAGCTAAAATTTAAATCTGACTGTGGCAAATCTCTGTGATCCTGATATATGAAAATCCAAATAAATGATTTGTTCACAGAAATGAAAAATAACTTCAGCAGGAAATTTCAAAATTACATATGCAGGATTAATCCAGTTCAATGAATGCATCTTACATTGATTAATAAAGCATCAATGAATTACAAAATAAAACTAGAGGAGACTTGTGGGGCTGTTATATTTGTATCCCTTACTGAAGCTAAAGACAAGTGTGTATACTTAGAAGAGATGTGGTCAACCAATGTGTTATTTTAATTGTAAGGGACTGAATACAAATACGGATTTCCTAATTGTTTTGTTTTCCCCTTCAACTGCAATCTATTATTGTATCACTTTACTGCTTCTTTGAAGAACAAAGAAAGTCACCATCTTACAAGCCAATATGGTGACTAAGTACAGAGTCACTGGCATGCTTCCCACAGGGACTCCGCTCATCACCTACATGGCATCACTGGCAACAAATGCAGGAGTTTTACCCTTAGCTAACCCAGCTCTCTTTGTTGTTAGTACATTCTGCCTGCCTGTGCTTGTGCTTGGACCCAAATTAGAATTCTTGTTCTAGTAGCACCATCCATTTAGGATTCATTGCTCTTGTATTTAAATGGCCTTAGAAATAAAACTAAATGGATGTGAACAGATACAGGGGAAACTACTTAGTTGTTTTTTAACAAATTTTGCTTTCTCCCAAATTAATGTTCTCCACCAACATTGAAAAAGCAGTCAGTTGGATTTATGGAAAGTAGCATCATCAGACTTGGGATTCTGTTCTTCAGTTCAGAAAACTGCAATTAATCATCACAATGGTAACAGAAGAAATGTGTGTTAATGGCTGAGGTGAATTAGCTACAAGTATCTTGCAAATTCCTCTATAACTCCTTCAATTTTGAGTTGCCTTCTTTTCTGTCCCATGCTGTTATAAATGTGTCAGAATCCCACAAACCTAATATGGGGCAATTCCAAAGTTATTTTTTCCTGTTTGAGGAGTTCACAGTAACTGTGGCTTTAAAAATGCAAGAATTCAAAGAAATACAGGTTGACATTTCTTAAGGCAATGGCAGCAGTAATTATCTGTAGTCCGCCATAAGTAAAGCAAAAACCTGGAAAACCAGAAACTCCTTGATTCAAGGGATAGTTATTGTTATTAAGCACTTTCAGTGTACTCAGGATTGTGCAAATCTAGAGGTACTTTCATCAAGAAATTTCTCATGTAATCCATATCATCATTACAATTTACAGAGGACAGCCTACATCAGATTGGTAATGGACGATGGAGCCTTTTGCTTCTAGGCCACTGGTTCAAATTTCAGCCCAGCTGGTGGTTATTATTGCAGTAGCACCTTAGGTCCCCAAACATAGGTGCTGGAACTACGGATGCTGGGGGCTGCGGCAGCACCCCCTGGCTTGAAGTGGTTTCCATATTATACATATTAATATAATATATTATATTATTTGCACCATTGCAGTTAGAGGGGTTTTGCCCATTGACTTCAATGGGAGCTGGATCAGTCCCATACTGCTGTGTTACAGTTTCTGGGGGAATTAAAACTGAATTTCCTATCTCTCAACCATAATGTATCAATTTTTTCCATTTTCTACGTCGCATTCTCATCATCAATACCTCTGTTTGTGTTTTCTCTTCCTTTGCAAAAACTGTTGGGGGTGAGCTTCATGCCCAGGAAAGAGAGGGACAAGTGCCATTGGTTAATTACCACAGGTTTAATGAAGCTAGGGGCTGTGCAAGCTTTCTACACATCAGTGGCTCTGCAGCCCAGAGTTCAATTGCAAAATTCTGCTATTGCAGCCTTTCGCCTCTCTTGTGCAAGGAATGCCTGATGTGTTGGCTGGGCATTTGGAAGTGGAGCTAAGGTGAACCTATGAGCTCCTTTTCTCTTGCAACCCAAAAGATTATGGCCCAGAAGTGAAAGGCTAATATGGTCCTCGGGTTCAAGGACTGAAAGGGGGCCATGCCAAAATAAGTCAGATATCACATTAACACATCCTAGCCCCAAAATGGTGAAGAATGAAGTCTCAAACTAACATAGGTTCTCATCAACAAACTGATAGTTCAGCTAATCTATGGAGGATGAAGGAATTCACAAGTGTTTTCTCTCATACCTTTCCAGAATTTTACTTATGATCAATTTATGTTGTCAGTTCATTCCTGAACTGCACCTTGTATTTCAGAGCCTGGGTTTCAGATTTCACCAATGACAGTTTCATCATTTACTGCTGGGCAGAGAGCTGAAGAATTTCAGCTTGACATCTGGAACGCATACTGAAAAAGAATCCTAATTTGGTCGCCTTACTTGTTTGGGTCTAATTAGAGAATGAACTGTCCTCTGCTTTTCCCAGATAAGATTAATTTCTAATTGATTTATAAGGTGATTGGAGATTACCATAGTGATCAGT